TTCTCAGTCATCCAGGTCATCATAGTCTAAGGAGGTTTAAAAGAAAAGCGTCTGGACTTCTTTAGGTTTCTTGAAGACGTTTCATCTCTCCTCTGAGAAGTTTCTTCAGTTCTAAGAGCAATTGGTGGACAGTCCCAGATTTTAAGCCCTAGGTAAAGGTCCTAAAATAATACATAGAATACAGAAAAAAAATCCAACAATCAGATGACCCCTTATGAGCAAGTGCTTTGGTCACAGTGGGAAGGAAAAATTCCCTTTTAACAGGAAGAAACCTCCGGCAGAAACGGGCTTAGTGAAGGGCGGCCATCTGCCACGACCGATTGAGGGTGAGAGGGGGGAAAGACAAAACACAACAAACAACATCAGTGCATAAACCCTGCAATCACCAATTTTTCCTAGTTGCAAGAAGGTTGTTGCTCAATTTTTGCTATAGTGCGACTGAACCAAAAATGTTCCTTTTAGTTTTCCCTAGATTATATATATACTCCATAATCTGTTAAAAGCTCAAAATACGGTTTAAAACGCCTTTCTCCCCTTTAAACTTATATTTAATACAGCCATCTGTGCTTTGGATTATCCCATAGTTCATTTCGTGATTGTCTCGGTAGTGTGTCTCTCTAATATAGTCTTGGTCATTAGGCAGACTGACTGTGTATGGCTTTAAGAAAATCGCCTTCTGCTAAAGGATAGCTTACTTTAGCTTCACATAGCGTTAAGACTGAAAACAGACGCTACAAACCAGCAGGTGGGAAAGCTCACTGGAATATAACATGTTACATTCTACTGTTGTTTTAAAAAAAAGGAATTTGGTGATAAAATTCCAAATTGTTCTTTTGAATTTATGTTTATTCTGCATGCTAAACTAAGTTAAGCTGTGTGGTTAGCTGTAGCTTCACATTTAGCATAGACACGAGTGTGGCTTCAGACTGATCATTTAACGCTTACAAAATCTTTAATGGTTATTTTAATTTTAATGTCAGCAGAGAGAAAGAGCTCCGTTTTCTGTCCTTCATCTACCTTCCCTGTTTGAAACTAGCCGAAGCTGCTGCTTAAAAAAATTTTTTTTTCACCAATCCAGTGTGAAAAACAGTAGCCACAGGCTGTTCTAGCCAGTAAAATCTTTAACTCAGCATGTCTTTGATAGCCTCTACTTATTACTTGGTTCTCTCTATTCTCCAAAGCCATATCACACTGTACATTTTCACAGGTTATGACAGCGCTGTCCTACGACCGCCTGACTGAGCCGCGAGCGGTCCAGAGTGCACAGAGCTCTGACAGCGGAGGATAGAGCTGCAGTCCTTGTGAAGAGCAGGAGAGGCTAAAGACGGACAGAGGGAGCGCCCTTCACCTCTGAGAGAATCAATACAGGTTTACTGCAGAGGGAATTGTATGAATGTGGAATAAAAAATGTTCAAAACACATGCTGGACCTCAGAAGCTGCTGTAAAGGTGATCACACTCTTTCACGGTTAAATAACACTGTTCGTTTCTAAGCTGTGCTATCAGATTCAATTATAATTGACCTTAGGTGCATATTTACTATCAGACTGTTAATTATATTTTACACAAGGGGGCACCATTGCTCTCATATTGAATATTCAGAGGCATAAATGAAGATGAAAGCCATTATTTTTAAACCAAACTATTTTTATTCCCCCGGTGTTTGTTGGAAAAAAATAAATAAATGAGAGAAAGAAGCAGGTTTTTCCGAGTGACCTTTGTAGCAAAGCTTTGTTTCTTGTCTTTCTTCCTTTGGAAAAAAAGAGAGAGACGGAGAACAGATGACACAATGAGTCCAGAAGTGGAGTTGTCAACATCTGAGAAGCTCCATGTCAGTGCTGCTGATAGAAGAAGGTCAGACAGAGTGAAGATTTTCAGATTTGTTGTTTTGTTCCCTTCTAATGCTGGAATAAACTAGGTACTTGAATGTAACACAAACAAAAATGCAAAGCTTTGAATGAAAGTAAACCAAGCTTGTTTTGATCTGATCCTCTACGCCAGCTTGGCATTCGAGGAGCTCTGAATTAAAACCAAATTTAAAAAGGACTTACTTAATTAGTCGGCTCTATCTTCTTACTAAGGGGGGATTTAAAGTTTAATTGCCTGTGTTCATAATTCAAAACATGACTAGGTGTGAGTAGTGTACAGTCAGCTGTTCTTGCCTATAGCCTCCTCTAGGATGTGCTGCGTGCTACATATCTGCACTACGAGATGAGAATGCAACATCAAGGCATTGTAGATTCCCTTTGTAGCAATGAACATGGGTTTGGCCAATCTCTCTGTTTTTGCATAATTGCAGATAAGGCTCAGTAACCTTTCCAGTTTTCTTCACTCAGCATGTGATGTTTGGTTTTTCTAGAGGCTTTCTGCCTGAAATGGAAATTCTAATCTCTGGGACTCAAGGACATAATATATATAAGTACTTTCATGGCCTGATCAGCGCATTCAGGTACTTGACATTTTAAGGGAGATAAGAGGGAGCGTAGAATCAGGTCAATCCTGAATTTACTCTCCTTTTTTCCAGCATGATTCCTGCTATCCTGTGGGTTGAAAGAAATTCCTATACTGCAACATAAATATAAACAAAAGACATTTAAATCTGTTAAATATCTGCGGTTTAATAAACTTAAATTAGTCGAATGTGCTCTTGCTAATTTCAGAAGTCTAAGCTAGCTTAGTGTGGTCTTACCACCTTTGTAACAGGTAAACATTTCCATGGTGTCGTCATCGCATCACCAGGCGACAAGTTCTTTTGTCTTTCTGGGGCAACAAGCAGGAGAAACATTGACATCTTTTTTATTTAAGTGCTTTTTTTTCCAGCATCTGTGCCTTTATGTGATAGCATCAGAGCCGAGCTGACCAATAACAAGCAATACAGACATGCATCCACTCAACCCAAGGACATGTGAATAATGAACAGTCCTGCTTTTAAGACCGTCTGGACCGGCGCAGTCAACTATTTTCCACCTCAGCCTCTGCGGCAGCGTATAGAGGCAGATGCACACAAAGGACATAAATAGAAAAGTCAGAGGCCTTGGGCTTTTATGTTAAATATACCAAAGGTGGGCACAGACGCACAAGTTCTCAAAATTTAACAGCTTCCACGGAACAACTGTTTGATGCGGGAGCAAACAATTATTTTTGTGAACTATGGATGAGAGTTTGTTGCTATGGAGATGGGATTTTTTATTTTTTTGTGAGTGGGATAGAAAGAGGCCAAAAGATGAAGTAATGTTGTGTAATTGGAGAGCGGAAACCCTGGCTATTCTGGTTGTGGAACAGATGAAGGTGCCGTGGAGCTTTAGTGGATGCATCTGCATGTTGTAGTACCACATAACTATAAATGACTCAGTCTGCTTTCTGTGTACAAACTGTTTTCATGCCATGTCGAGGAACAATCAGTCTGCTGTGTGCGGTTATTTTAGCTATCGTGTAAAAATATCTTGCTGGATGTAGCCATTACTCCGGGTTTTTATGTTACTGCTGCTCTGTGGTGAACCGAGCTGTGAACAGTGGAGTAACTACAGTTTAATGTGTTACACTCAGTCTGAACCAATCGTGCCAGGTCTTTGTGGTTTTACTGTCATGACATTTTTCTCATGAATAAAAAGCTAAAAGAAAGTTTTTAATATACACCAGATCTCAATGAGGGAAAAAAATATGTTGGATATCTGGACTGATACGGACTGGATAATGTGTTAGGAGTGACAGGACCCTACAGAGGGCTGAATTCAAAGATCCCTGAAAATCAAAGTGGAAAAACAATGCAGCAGGCTTGTCCATTTGACAGAAAATTAATTTGCAGCAACTTGAAATGGTACTTGGTAGTTTGTATGGTCCCTGCATACTTGTATGCATGGCTGATAGCGTCGGGGATGCTCTTAATGAGACAACAGATGGTGTCCTCGGGGATCTCCTCCCAGATCTGGACCAGGGCATCAATGAGCTCCTGGGCTGTCTGAGGAGCAACTTTGTGGTGTTGGACCAAAACAAAACGTCCCGGAGGTGTTTTGGTGGATTTAGGTCAGGCGAGTGTGGGGTCCAGGAACTGCCGCATACTCTCCCCACATGAGGCCGGGAATTGTCATGCACTAGGACCCACTGCACCAGCGTAGGGTCTGACAACAAGCACAAGGATTTCATCCAGATACCTAATGGCAGTCAGGGTGCTGTTGCCTAGTCTATAGAGGGCAGTGCAGCACTCCATGGATAAGCATCCACAGACCATCACCAACCCACCACCAAACTCTCATCTGTGAAAAGTACAGGTCACCAGTGATTGACCTGCCAATTCTGCAGGGAGCACAGGTCCACCAGAGGACTTCGGGGTCTCATGCCACCCTCGTGAAGCCCATTTTTCATATTGTTTGGTCAGACACATTCACACCATTGGCCTGATGGAGGTCATTCTGTAGGGCTCTACTTCTGGCAGTGCTCATCCTGTCCATCCTTGGACAAAGGAGCAGATACTGGTCCTGCTGTTGGATTACGGACCTTCTACGGCCCTGTCCAGCTCTCCTAGAGTAACTGCCTGTCCCCTTGAATCACTTCCATGATCTTGAGACTGTGCTGGGAGACTCAGCAAACCTTCTGCCAATGTCACATATTGATGTGCCACCCTGGAGGAGGTGGAGGTGGACTCCTGAGGTGGACAACAGGAGGTGGACTACCTGTGCAACCTCTGTGGGGTCCAGGTATCGCCTCGTGCTACCAGCAATGACACTGATCTTAGCCAAATGCTAAAATAATGTAAATCCAGTCAGATAAAATGTCCGTGGCCTCCAGCTGTAAAAACATTCCTGCTTTGTGGATTGTCTCATTGTTGCCCCTCTAGTGCAACAGTTGTTAATTTCATTAATACCAAAGTAGCTAAAACTGATTAACAATCCCCTCTGCTACTTAACTGACCCCATCAATAACCCACAGGTTAAAGTGACTTGATAATGTGTAGCATAATGACATCACCCTTTGGTTTTGAAGGCTGATGGGGAGCAGCGGGTCTGACTGTGTAACCACACACTCATTGGATAACGACGGTTTCATATCACTGATAAGGTTCCAGTTTGAAACGTTGTGCGACCACAAGTAACAAAATAGATTTAATTTTATAATTCAATATAATTCATATTGAGTTAGTGAGACCATAACTCAGCAGGAAAGTGTTTACAGAGGTCAGAGCAGAAAGCCATTTCACATGTAGCTGTTTTCCAGTTGTACATAGTGCAACTCAGCGGGCTTTGACTCAACTCTACTGGGTTTCTCTCTTTTTCCATTACAATTGAGTGCCACCTAATGTGCATCAGGTTGCTATAACAACGCGGCCGAAAACCCTGTGAGGTCATATCTATGTGACACGAACACAACACTAAAACGGAGGATGTCGAGGCGATGGTATATCTAAGTATGGCTTTTTGTCAGGCTCTGAGACCAGGGTGCTGATTTTTGTGTTGCCATTGTCTCGTTGCCATTTCACTCATTGAGTGACGGCAGTGACTTGCCAGTCGGTGGCATGCTGTCTGTTGGTGTCATACCGGCTGAGCTGTTACTAAAAATTTTAGTGGTGCAGGTACTACCACCTAGTCAAAAACCCTACAAACTTAGTCAGATAGAGCCGAATAAGTACTGGTGGAAAGGGGCTAATAGGCTAACCACAGCTATCGCCATCTGGTGGCCTTGAGATAGAAAGCAGATTTAAGTCACTTCAGAATTGGCTTCATATTTTCAGCGCAGAAGCTAAATCCATCTTTTTTTCATCGTCCATGCTCCAAAACTAACTTCACAGCAGAAATAAACAGGTTTTTAATTTTTCTATAGCTTACTTATTTACTTACTGCAATAACCTGTTTGTGATGTTGGTTCTTTCTGTACTAGTTTGTAAAGATATCCTCACTGCTGTGTGGTAATGTTTTATTTTCACATTACTTCAGCAGGTATCTGTATATGATGCACACACGGAGTCTATGGAACAAGCTTGGTAACTATCCTTACTGGAGTTCGATGTTAGCTTAGCATACTTGGTTACTTCTGATAGCATGGATGATCAAGCTAGAGTCTGGGGGTTTAAGGATGTCTATATTTAATATACAGTCTGTGGATTTCATGGATTGAAAAGTGCCAGCTTCGGGCAGTATAGTAATGTAAAACCACAGAGTGAAGACAGAATATGTAATTATATGCATTACATGAACTGTATCTTCTATCACCTTTCTAATGCACACATTTCCATATGCAAGAATGTAAATTTTGTGGTGTTTTTGTATTATAATTTATTTGGTTTGGGGTGCTTTTTTAATTAACACATTAGTCAACATAAGATGACTTTTTTTTCCTCCTCCCCATAGAAATTTAAATGCAACAGAGATTTGATCAAATGCATCCACTCCACTTTTATCAAGGGAAAAATGTACAAACGGCTGTTTTTAGCATTGACCGGCTTTGAAGCCAAATTGACACTGTCATCTGACAAAGATAAAGGTACTCGGTCCCAAAGCAAAGAAAAAAACCAAACACCTGCACCCGCATTCGAATGGAGATGATCTGTAACAATTATGTTAGCAGCAACAGGAAGGCAAAGAGTGTCTCTCCTCTTCCTGATGGTATTACGGCTCTACTGAAGATGGTCATTAATAGGTCGCAGATGATAAATGAGTTATTAGCTACGGAGGTGGGGGGAGGGGGGAGAAATCAGGCCAGATATATTCATTCCACGACTTTCTTTCTTTCTTTCTTTTTCCTTTTCTGGTTGCCATCCATATTTTTGTGCGGAAAGATTTGTCCTCGCAAATCATTTATTAAGAGGTTTAATTATACAGGAATGTATATATCCAGGATGTGATTCTGTTTCCTCGGAGGAGACTATCCATCAAAAAAATCTTTTAAATAGATGTCGGCGGTTGGTCTCCTGCCAGCTTGGCCGAAGATTTACAGTTTCACACACATTATTGTTACCGGCTTAAAAATCTAACTTCTGGATGTCATTGCCAGGGTGTGGCTCCTGTCCAATAATATGTGTGTGTGTCTCTGTCCCCCCCCAACACACA